CTCTCTCTCTCTCTCTCTCTCTCTCTCTCTCTCTCTCTCTCTCTCTCTCTCTCTCTCTCTCTCTCTCTCTCTTGCTTTCCCCCAACCTATATAATACACATCCAAGCAATGAGAATCCGTCTCCAGAAAGGACGCCAAATGCTCGGGCCACGAACTGAGCCCACACTTCTCCTGCCTTAAGGCCATGCACCCTTCGCAGATAACCATGGTTTAACTACGTGTGCACCCGTGCAGATAACCATGGTTAAACTACTGTGCAGATAACCATGGTTAAACTACGGTGCAGATAACCAAGGTTAAACTATGGGTGCACCCTTGCAAATAACCATGGTCAAACTACGGGTGCACGTGGACAACCTAGCCTCACAAAGAAGAAGGACTGAAAAAAAAAAAAAGCGCAAAAATGCAAATACTCTATTTTTAGGAATGCTCCAGCAGAGAACTCCTATCGCTTCCTTTGCTATTCGGCCACAAAGAGTTTTTGAAGCGCGAACAGAGAAAATGTAAAACAAAGGAATCTGATCAAAGTTTTTTTGCTTCATGCACATCCACTCCGTACTGAGCACGGTGGATTTGCTTGCAGACAAGCAAGCAATCCGACAAGGCTGGCGATGGCGAAAGACGAGATGGGTAAACATTCTGAACAATGAAATACCCCTACCCTGTGCATTTCAATACGCCATCCCGCCCCCCCCCCACCCTTGCCCCCTTCTCTCCAGCTCTCCTAGTTTCTCCGCTCCCTCCTCCCGGTCTCCTTCCTCTGCACATCTATACAGAACTACAAATAGCAAAGGCAAAAAAAAAAGAAAAAAAAAAGAAAAAAAGAAAAAAAGAAACCTTGTTTCAAAAAAAAAAAACAAAAAAAAATAGCCTTGTAAACATTATCAGACCCAGAGTAGCAGAACCACCAACAAGAGTAGTCTGCAATATCCTCACACCCTAAAGCTCCATATGCTCTCCTTGTTAGCCCTCTCAATTCCTCTCTCCCTCGTCTGCAGATGTAAATAAAATGACTAGAGCAGAGACAACGCTCAACAGTGTCAGATACAGAGCAGCAGAGTTGTGCCTCTGCTCCACTTATTCCTCCCTCTCTACCTCCCTCTCTACCTCCCTCTGTCTGCGCTTCCCTTATTCTGCGCATGTGAACAAAACTCCAAAAGCAGAGTTGCAGACCCTCGTAGCATGCACTGCCAGATGCAGACTACCAAACCATAAAACAAGAGTAATATATGAAATGCCGGTACTGTACGAGCCTGTATGCTGGTACTGTACGAGCCCGTATGCGAGTACTGTACGGGACCGTATGCCAGTACTGTACGGGGCCCATATGCTGGCACTGTACAGGTCCGCATGCTGGTACTTTATGGGCCCATATGCTCCCTTTATCTTGCTGTCTGCCTGGATTTCACCGTGTTGTACCGGCCCGTGTGGGCTTGTCTGCTGGTGCTGTATGGGCCCATATGTGCAGGTCCGTATGCTCCCCTTTTCCTGCTGTCTCCCTGGCCTTTTCCATTCTGTACGGGTCCTATTTGCCGGCACTGTATGGGCCTGCGTGCTGGTACTGTATGGGCCCATATGCTCCCGTTGTCCTGCTGTCTACCTGGCTTTTGCCGTTCTGTACCGGCCCGTGCGGCCTTGTGTGCTGGTACTGAATGGGCCCATATGTGTCGGTCCGTATGCTCCCCTTGTCCTGCGTCTCCCTGGCTTTTGCCACTCTGTACCAGCACGTGTGGGCTTCTCTGCTGGTACTATGGGCCCATATGCTAGCACTGTGTGGGCCCATATGCTCCCCCCTTCTCCTGCTGTCTGCCTGGCTTTTGCTGTTTGGACAGGAGAATGGCATGACTCCCATAGTTGCACACACATGTTCCATGACCTCCTAGTCCCATGGAAGGTCCCATATGCATTAAAAGTCAAAACAGATTTGAGAGTCCCATGGACGGTGCCATGGAGGCAATCTGGATTCCCCACTGGACGCGAATGAGACAGAGAATGAATGCCCATAACAGCCGCAGTTGTAGCTTGAAAACGTAACCCATTTGTCGGCTGGGCAAGGTTTTGAATCAATACATTCGGACACACCGTTGCACCTCAACAGCCTTGCGAGGTGGTACGATTGCCAACAACCGAACGAGACCAAGTTCCTTCGCCTCCGACATCTGTCTCCGAACGAGACCAAGTTCCTTCGCCTCCGACATCTGTCTCCGTCAACAGATCCTCCTACCTTCTTCCCCCGAATACCACGTGCGGTCATTATAGCTGCATTTGGGGGGTCTTTCAGTCTAAAAAAACGGCAACGATGACCGTACGTTGTACTCGGGAGAAAGACGGTAGCAAGTAGAATTAAGTACAAGCAGGCGTAGATGAAAATCTCGACACGTTAACGGTCCACCGCATCTGCATTTGGCCCACTGATTTATACATCTATCATCTACGTACAGTGCACACATGTCAGTGGGAATGGCCCTGGTGTCATGTCTAACTGACGTCGGACAGACAAATCCTATCGGAAAAGACAGCGCAGTGTGTTGTCGTGGTGTACATCCAACCTGCTATTTGTGTAGGATTGTCTGTAAGTTGTGCCAGGTTCCGCATGCTATTGCTATTAATGTAGAATCGTCTGTAAGTCGTGTCGGTTCTGTAAAGCTCAATTGAGAGCTATGAACAATTCCAAACTAAAAAACATTGCCAATATTCTACTTCTTCGACAAGAACAGAACAACGTCGCAATGTCGCGCTGTACCTGCGTTGTGGCTGAACGGTACGCACACTCAACTGTTGATAAAGAGGCCAGGGTTCAAATCCTGCAAGACACGATCTGTGTTTGTCGTGGAGCTAACCCCTTTAAAAAAGAGAGAGCATGAATTGTCACTACCGTCTTCACCCGAATAGAACGCCGGGTAATTATCATCGTATATGGGGTGAAAGTTGTGCCAAATACAGCTATAATGACCGGGCGTGCTATTCGGGTGAAGACGGTAGTGCAGCCTATATACAGAAGAAGGGTCAGTAGTGAAAGGGAAGCCTGCACACAAAAATCTCCAGTCCAGAATGGAGGGGAGGGGAGGGGAGGGGAGGGGGGGGCGGCGGGGGACTTCAGGGGGCATGGTCAGTTCCCAAGGTGTGACGGGCGGTGGGGGAATCATCAGCTGATTCTGGTCGCCGGGCCCTGTGAGGAGTGACTTCTTCCAATCACGTCATCATAATTAAATAGTCGGGGTAACTTCGGTAGAGGAGTCACAAAAAGGATTTGTAATTACACTATGGGGCAAGACACAGTTTGCAAAAATTGCACACTTCGGGCACCGTACCTGGCCAGAAAGCTGGGTTGTATACATTGCCCAAAGTGCAATTTGAAACTGTATCTTGGCACATAGTGCAATTGTAACTCATTTTTTTGTGACTCCCGCGAAGTTTTTCCCTTTAATAGTTTTTCCACCCTCTGTAACATGCGCGTTCTCATTGTTAAGCCCCTCCGCAGTGGCACCGTTTGGACGGTCCTTCCTTGATCAAACGGTTCACAAAGTGAATGCAGTATTGCGTCGGAAATCGGCTGATTCTCGTCGTCGGGCCGGGCCATGTGAGGAGTGACTTCTTGCCATCGCATCAGCATGATTAGTTAGTTAGCTTTTCCAGCCTCTGTAAAATAAATTAAAAAAAAAAAAAAAAAAAAAAAAAAAAAAAAAAAAAAACATGGGCGATCTCATTGTGCTAAGCACCGTCGGCAGTGGCACCGCTGGATGGTCCCCCCTTGATCAGGCGGTTGACGAGAGAACGCAGCATTGTGTTGGTTTCCTGTCTATCCATTGCCTCGGTTGTGGCACGCACTCTTTGACACTCTGACTGTTGACAGACCCTACGATCGTAGCTATCCCAGAACTTGGTGTCCATCTCAGCAAGCAAGCCCATCATTGTCTTGAGGAGAACTTGGCGCGACTTCACGCCCACAAACTTCCCCCTCTTTAAGTCTCTCCCTGGCTCCACATCCAGACTGTCTCTGGCAGCAGTATCCGTTCCGCCGCCCACCCCTTCGCTCCCAACCTGTGCGTCGTGTCTCCGCGTATCGACAGCTTCCGGCCTAACGAGTGGCATTCCAACAACTGGCCCTCCAGGCGGCAGCACTTGCCGTGCAAAACTGTTTTCTTCTAAAACGCTAGCTACGGCCGACGGCTCGGCACCGGGGCTCCCAACGGAACTGAACGTGGGCCCTCGTGGACCCTTCACAGAGAACGCGACTGGCTGAGCATGAACAGGAGTGAGAGCGGCAGCGACAGGCAATGTCTCAGGAATCTCAGAATGGTACACGTCCGTGCTCCGCGATGGGTGGCTGCGCTCGCCCAAACGAACGCTCACCATCGGCGAATTTATTATCAGGTCATAGACGTGAGGGAAGCCGGCACCGTGACCTTTGAATTCCAGCCCCCCTCTGCGTACGTTTTCCGCCCTCAGATCTTGAAACTTCCTCCATATTCGCTCAAACTTCTTTCGGCACTGCTCACTGGAGCGCTTGAACCCGTTTTCCAACATTCGAGATGACACAATTTTCCAATTCTCCTTGTTGTTCCCCTGATTCTTGAACTTGACCTGCTGAGAGACAGCCCCTCCCTCAATCCCCGACCGCACAGCCCGATCAGAGAATGCCATCACCAATCCGCAGTTACAAACATGCAGACAACCAGCATTAGCCCCAACTGATTCTAGAACATAACCTTCTGACAGAAAGCGCCTCCACTGATCCATGCCATTGCCACAACCCAATCAGAGAATACGATCACCACTCCACCACACAACATGAGTCCAGCATATTCCTGAGCTTAACATCATCCTAAGAGAAAGTGCCTCCTCAATCCACAACTAAACTCTGATTCCTCTGGTTCTTGAACTCAGCTCTGCTGAGAGGCATCCGCGCCCTCTGATCCATGAGAATGACCCAGATAAAGTGGGAGCAAAGAAGCGGTTCACGCACAGCAAAAACAGAGGAGAGGGGGGAGGGGGGGAGAGAGACAAAAGACAAAACAAACAAAGAAAAAAAAGAAAAAAAAAAGAAAAACAGAAAAAGGAAAAAAGTGTTGGCAGAGGGTAGAGGCGGTTCTGGCTGCTACGGGGTTCCCCGTAGGACTATAACAAGGAGCAGTGGTAGGTAGGTAGTGTGAGGTGAAATTGAGAGGGTAGAGGCGGTTCTGGCTGCTACGGGGTTCCCAAAACAAATCCACACAGCAACTACAACGACAGACCGGGCGCATCGGCCCTGTAGCCCACAGCCGTACCGTTGAGCCAAAACCCTAAACCCCAAACTTGAACAACTCAGGCCTGGGCTCCCAGTCGCCTGAAAAAAAAAAGGGAAAAAAAGGGGGCAGGGAAGGAAAACAAGAAAGAAGAAAAAGAAAATGCAATTGTCAATCCCAGCGGATCCTTGAACTTAACCTGCTGAGAGAAAGTGCCTCCTCTCTCAATTTATGACAACATAACCAGATCCGGGGATGCAACCATGAAACCACCACATGCACGCAGCCAATAACACCAGCCTAAGACGACTGTGAAGGGGGCCATCTACAGCGAACAGAATATCGTCCCATTGCACATAATCAATACTGCTACCTGTACATCTGCCCACCTACCTGGCCAACACGTTTGTCTCATTGATGGGAACTATTCTTCGGCAGACTGTCGGAATTCCTATGGGGAAGCCATCTAGTCCTGCACTTGCTCGCTGCTATGTGCCTCGAATGAAGCCTGCTTTCTCCACAATCTGGGTAGTGATCGTCGTTTGTTTCATGCTGTTAAGTTAGATAATGACGTTTCCGTCTTTACCAGCTACGACTCTCATCCGTCCTGTCCACTAAACGAGCAGAAGAAGAGTGCATTAGGAGGTTTAAACCACAAGTACACGGCCCCAGCCTTGCAGTCCGAAACTTGTCGCCACAAGAAAACGAGGCCGAAACGTCAAACGTTGGACCCGCCGTTGATCAATTCTATCGGCGGTCGCATTTTCGTTTGGCGCCTCCAGAATTTGAGGTGTCAGGCCCACGGCCCAGGTCCCCATGTACTGGTGCTTCAAGTCATGTTATGATAGGAATTTGGCAGTGGGTGTTTCAGAGTTTGCAGGATTATAAGTTTTTTATAACTCATAAACGCCCACACAACAGAAAATGATAGTCATTGGTGCTTTTCTACGCAGATTAATGATGCTGAACACACTGCCCGGTGCGGATGTGCATTGATTATTGGGGTCTAAAACGGATAGCAAGGAAGAACACTTGCCCATTACCATGCATAGATGATCTGTTGGATGCCGCAGGTGGGTGCAAGGTCTTCTCTAAGATCAATCTCAAGTCTGGCTACCACCACATTGAAGTCGATCCGGCAGACCAGCACAAAATTGTGTTCAAGACACGGGATGGGCTATACAAGTTCATCGATATGCCCGCCGGTCTCACGGGCACACTGGCTACTTTTCAAAGTGTCATCAACCAAGTTTTTAGAAACCAGATTAACAGATTTGCTTTTGACTGCCTTGATGACATTCTGATTTTCAACAAGTCCATATATGAGCCTCTGAAACACATGGAGGAAGCACTTGAAATCCTCAAGGAAGCACAATTGCATCTCAACCTGGAGAAATATGAGTTCTGGAGAGAAAGTGTCACTCTATCTTGGGCACCGGTTGTCTGTTGTAGGCCTTGAACCTGAGGCAACCAAGGTTGCGGTCATATGCAATTGGCCTCAACCGACGAATCTCCGCAAACTGCACTCTTTTCTTGGTCTGGGTTCTTATAAGAGGAAGTTTGTTCCAAAGTTTTATATCATTGCTCACCCCTTGTCAAAACTAACAAGTAAAAATGTATCTTATGCTTGGAGTGATGCACGTGAGACTACATTTTAAACCTTGAAAGAGGCTTTGGTGAGTCATCCTATGCTCCGCATTCCAGATCACAAACTCACATCCGTAGTCACTACCACGAGCCAATATGAGATTGGCGCAGTGCGGCAACAAGATGATGGTGATGGCTTGTGTCCGCTTGAATATTACAGCAAACACATGCCAACAACAAGGTAGCTACTTCTACGAATCTACGTACATGTGTAAGCTCTTTACCTTGCGAGCAACACTAGAACATTGGATGCCCTACCTCTTGGGACGCAACTTCAAAATCTTCTCGGACCATGAGACTTTGCAGTGGATAAAGTCACCGACTAACCTTTCCACAACGATGTCCCGCTGGTTGCCTGAAATTGATGTTTATGATTTTGAACCTCGGCTATTTCCCAAGCGGCCTGGGTCATGAGGTCCCACCTGGGTGTGCCCCCGGGCGGCCTGTCCAGGGGACCATGGGCAAGCCCAATGCTTTTTCTTGCTTGGCCAGCCCGCCCCCCCCCTTGAAGGCCGCTACCTGGCCTTCCACATGCAAAGGGGAGGGCCAAAATGGTGCCTTGGAGTAAAATGACCTGTGTACTTACGAACACAACAGATAATAAGAAACATGGTTCATACGATGATATGAAAGCCATGGACTCCAGGAAAAACAATGGAAACCCGAAGATTGATAGAAGGCCTCACAGACAATTCTTTTGGTGGCCCAATCTGGGCAACTGATCTTCGAAGATCAGCGGCTCAAATTGGGCTGAACGCAGGTGTTTTGATTCAACCCCGACGTGTAGGCCATGAACATTTGGGTTTGGGCTGTCATGAGCCATGCATACACTGAAGTGCAATGCTCAGGGCGCAGCGCTACCAGGAGCGTTGCGCCCGACCCTGAATCGGTTCCCCCGTCGGTTTCACACTAGCAATCGGGAGTGGAGGCGGTGGCGTGATGGGGCGAAGCACTGGTGATGGCGTGGCTGGAAACCTGGCGCAGTGGAGCATGTGCTCAGGAAGGCGTCTGAGCGGGCACAGGGGATATGGAAAATGACGCGCACTACGTTGCTCCTTTGCGTGAGGTGATTTCGACAGAACTTCTAATCTTTCACGCATCTTCGTCGGGTAGCGGTCGTTGTAACGAAGGTTGGTGATGATCATAGAAGCGGGAGGGAGCACGGAGATAGGGAACCTCTTAGATTAGTCGTGCTTTTTAGCTGATTGATGTTATGGGTTCTCTTCTTATTTGTTCTATTTTTTTAGCTTTCCCCCCTTTCCTCATGTAGGGTAATAGGTTTGTATGCTTGGACTCCCTGTGGTGACTTACTAACAGGCTTGGTAAGTGGCAGCCACACTGTCATTTTTTACAATGGTCGTATATGTTTTCAGTGCTAGCGTAGCGTCTACGCCTGAAAACGATGAGGGGTAGGGTTTGAGGCGGTGATGGTAGTAGGTGGGTTTTGGAGGACGAGGGGTGAGCTCGAAGGATGGAAAGAATCTGCTCCTGCCGTGTTTTGAGATATGAATTTGTTAATCAATTTCTAATCAGTTTTTGCTATCGATTTTCATAAATTCCACTCCTGGATAACTCCGATGTTCTAAAGTGGAGTTGTTCATAAAAGGATTGCTTCGATCTCAAAATCCCAAAGGACAATTCTAGTCGGGTATTATAATTCGTAAATTTTTCATACTTGCTGGTCGGAAATTCATAAGTATACTCGGATGTTGATCTTCAAAAAACCGATCAAAAGTCCTATTCGGACATCCTATTCGTAAATGCTAATAATATTTCATATAGGTTTTCTCAATTTCGTCGTAGATCGATTTTCTAATTTGTCATGATTTGATTTTCTAATTTGTCATGATTCGTGATGAATTCTGCCTAATCTAATGACCTTGGTTACTTTGATGATTTTGTTTTAAACTTTCAAACTTGTTTAAACTTCGACGTGATTTTCCATGTTCCAATTAGTGTTTCCTAATAAGGCTTCTCTCATTGGAGACAGTTAGAAAATCTTCTTAGGTGTGTATGTTGCTGTCGTAATTGCGGATCAGCGGTTTTTCGATGTCAGAACGACGTCGATTGATGTTGGGGTGTTGCCCTGTAACCTGCGAAGCAGGAGTATGAGGCCTGGTAGAGAGATTTGGCGATGCTTAGGGGCGGGCATCTCACGGAATAATCAAGGGTTGCTCCTTGGAGGATGTCGGTCGGAGTTGGGGTGAGTTGTGTTACCCTGTAACCTAGCGGTGGGGGTGTGGGGCTGGGCAGACTCAGGCAGAGAGTATGATTGCGTTGGCGAGCCTGAGTAGGGTTGTTATAGTCTCCTTGACTGCTTTGCAAATTGTCAACTAGGCTTTATATTTTAAACTTTTTAGCAGGTAGCCAAAAAACACACGATTAAGGGAAGCAGATTATTCACACGGACGGGTGGGAAGTTCGTAGGAGGGTGTAACAGCGAAAGGGCCTTAGTCTTCGTCAGTAGGTCAGAAGGACGTGGTTGGGACGACGCAGGCCGGTGCTGGAGTGTTGCTCTATAACCTGGGGGAGCGTGAGGCTTGGGGAGCACTGTCGAGGGAGGAAGGTAGAACCACCACGTTCGACGCAGCCGTTGTTGGGGTTTTATCCCTGTCACCTAGGGGTGTCCGGCTAATGGGAGTTGTCGAGGGAGGAAGGTACTCCTTGCCGTCTATACCAAGCTGGTCGGTACCGGGGCATGGTGGTGCCCTGTAACCCTAGCATAGGGGGTTATGAGACCAGCCGCGCTTAGGTTCGAGGACTGATCACGGGGTCTTTGTTTTTTCCAATTGTTGTGTGGGAAGTTTGCTAGTCGGTGGTTTCGGTTCGGATTTTTTGCTTTCAATTTTGATGTGTGTCACTCAAGTCCTATCTCGTTAGAAAAGAAAAACCCAATGGGACGTGTTCGGATATGGCTATCCTGGTTGTGATTGTTCTCGGTGGTTGTGGTAGAACGCTTTTAGGCTCTTGGGACTCCTTGCAATTTCCTTGAGGCGATTTTTGATGCTGTTTTATTCATGGACCTGCGGTTGTTCGATGCTAGAACGACGCTGGCCGGAGCTGGGGCGTTGACCCTGTAACTTGTTGACAGCAGGAGCTTGAATCCTGGTAGAGAGATCTGGGAATGCCTTGGGGGGGCATTTCACGGGACAATCAAGGGTTCCTATCGAAGACGATGCTGGTCGGAGCCGGGGTGAGTTGCTTTGCCCTGAAACCTATAGCGAGGGTGAGAGGCTTGGTAGAGCTTGGTAGGGAATAAGACGGTGTCTGAGGACTTCGAGGGTGTTAGGACCCTCTGGCGCTTTAGAGTGTTTGAAGACGATTGCTGAGGTTTTCGCTGGTGGATAGTCTCCCAAATTTACTTTTTTTTTTTCTTTTTTTTTTTTCAACTTCGTATTCGAGAAACCTACTTAGCGAGGTGATAAGAGCATCCCCGGTAAGTAGGCACCCGGCGTCGTAGGCTCCATCTATTGGTGGGGAGCTGCACCTGCTGGAAATCGGGTCCAGCGTCCCTATACAATGATGTGATGTGTGTGTGTGAGCTGGAAATCGGGTATGGCGTCCCAATACAATGGTGTGATGTGAGTGAGCTGGAAATCGGGTCCAGCGTCCCTATACAGTGGTGTGTAGCTATGTTCCATAATCAGGAACAGTATGTATATGTACATCCAGCCATGTCAGCCAACATCCAATCTATCTGTATTCTTACATCGATAAAACATATCCCCTGAAGGGAAAACCCTATCCCCTAACCTAACATATCACCATAGCAATCGAGACGTCAAGCCCAATTCTATCAATCAAGCCAGCAATCGAACCCTAACACAGATATGAAGTGAAAACCCCTGAATTGATGTACTGTATGTGAGCTGGAAACCAATTCCAGCATCACTATGCTATGAGGTGTACAGCCAGTCTGTATATGTTGTTGATTCCTGCAACTCCAAAGAGAGCAGAGGCATTGATTACTTCCCTGCGCAGGGGAAGGACTGACC